ATGGATGCCGCTTGGCAAACTCCCTCCGTTTGGATTGTAACCTGACAACCCATGGACAACCGCCCCCCCCATAACACGTGATAATTGAGCAGGATCTGAACCATTAGAACGCGCAGGAGGTTGACTCGATTAACAATCCCCTGTTAAAGGAAACATGCTAGAAAAACAAGAAGATCTGGACCATGGGAATGATTTTTTAACCGTTCTATAAGCTCCCCTCATCGAACTTTAATTGTGGCTTTGCTTTCGGTCTTGTTGCGCCTTGTTTCACACTCGAACGATACAACCCTATTTGCCATATTTTTCTGCTTCACATAAACATGACCTTCGGAAACTACTTTCTCGTTTTTTATTCGATTTTTAAAATTCCTCATGAGTTACAATACTTTTGAGATAATAGACTAGAATTCAACAAGATCCCTTTTGATGTTGAATGGGAGAACTGTAGTCTTCAAACGGCTTCTGTCCGGGGGGAGGGGGGCGGAGTTACTGTCCTAGAACCGTCTCGATACGTGCATGCACTGGTTGGTTCTTGCAATATGTCCCGCCAGTTGCCACTTCAGTTTCTCCACTCGTCTGATGACATCATGAACTCCCGTGCATGTTCTTATCCATTCGTACGTCTTTCTATTTCTTTGTGTTATTTCAGCCTGCACTTTTCAATGCTGCGTCAGTACCACGTAGTTTGTGAACAGCTTTCATCCCACAGTCCATGTTTCACATCTACACGTCAGTGCTTTGAGAATGTGCTGATCAAAGACCCTCGGTTTGAAGTACAGAGGCAGTTTCTCACACAGGAATATTTTCCATCTTTCGAAGTGTTGATATTGCGCTTTCAATTTGTGTTCGACAAGGAACGCCGTTGCCGGCACAGTGAGCCTCGCTTAATAAAACATATTTGCTTCTCAAGGCTTCTACCTCGCTTTATCATTTATCATTAGAACACTATTTACGTCGTTCTGAACAGAATAAACTTTTACTGAAAACACGTTTCGCTACTCTGAGTGTAAAACAAGACATTGGTGATGATGATGATAATACATTCACAACCATGAATCCAGATTCCTAATAATTATAGCCATGGAAAGTAATTTAATTGCCTTCAATCACCGTTTATATAACCGCCACTGTCTCCGTTTCATTTTCATTTTATCAGTGCTTAGATTTGTGGGCATAAGATTTGTGATTTGTGGTTTAATACTGCTGTAAACGGGAGAATTTGTTCAAGAAGAATCGTACATTCCTGGCATGCTGCTGATACAAAGTTAGAACTGCGTTCAAATGTGGTTTAGGACATTAGCCGAAAATAAACACACGAAACTGGGTGGGAGACAGCTGTCTTGAGATGGCTGTTTCCATTAAACCTGACAAACCTACGACGCACTGCAACTGCCGTTTTTCATCGGACGTCACCCGTCTAACTTTAAACCTTTAAGCCATCATGTTTCAAAGCTTCTAAACAAACGCTTTGTTGAATGAACCAAAAAGCGGTTATTCAACGAATGATAAAAAAGAGCACAGCGCGCGCGAGACCATGGGATAGAAGAATTGAGGGCTGAGTTGGATTAGAAACGGATCTCGAGTTCGAGAAGCGGGCGGTCTGATGAGCAGCTGTTGCTCTGCATTCTTTGCTATGCTCTGCAGAGAGGCAAAGGAAATTTTCTTCATTAGCTTTGACTGATGTATTCATAATAAATTCATAAACTCCCAGTTACTCATAAAAATTATAATTGTAATTAACTATGCTCAGGTAAGGTCTGCAATACTCTTAGGATGATCAGAGGTTATAGATGAACGGAACAGACACCAGTGAAGTTACTTGCGGTTTTTAGATGATATCCTGGTCTTTTCAAGGTTGCCAAAAGAAATTCAAAGTGGGGCTGAAAATAAACATGGAAAAGACTGTCATTTTTAATAAACACGTAATCCCGTAACTACGTGAAGTCAATTGATTTAGGCTTGAACAGGTACAGAACTACGTCTGTCTGAGACAACTCATCTTTGCAACAGGAAATTGACTCTGCCAGATCTACTAAAGAGCAGAAATGGCGTGGAGCACTTTTCAATGGTTGTAAACTTCTTATCCTCGAACTATCGTTGTGCTGGAATCAGGAAATTTTCGATCTGTGTGTACACCAAGTGCTAACCTATGGAAGCGTGACGCAGGCCCTCAGCTTTAAAGCAATTCATAAATCTGCAGAATGCGCAATGCTGCAAAAGCATAGGAAGACTAGACGAATGAATAGAGTGGACGAAAAGCGGGAGTCTTCAATGTCATTGCCTGAGTGTCGAATTCACAGCGGCAGTGAGTAGAACACAACCATAGCCGAGCTAGCAAGACATTAGACTGGCTTCCAACAGATAGTAGACGGTGATTGGGAAGACTTCCGAATCAATGGCATGACGAGCTGAGTTATTTCACTGGATCAAGGTTAATAAGAGTCTCAGAAAACGAAAATTTATCGTAAGGTCT